TCTTTTCTTTTCAAGAACAACAAGATACTGCTTGTTTTTGAGGACTACAGAAGATGTATTGATAAAAGTATCTAACAATACTTTCAAATCATACTCTTCTGCTTTAAAGACTAGACTAAATACTGAATTTGTAGCTAAATTTTCTTTACTCTCTCCATCTAAAGAAAATAGTAAAGGACATAAAAAAGAGTCTTCTGAGCTTAAAACTCTTTAGAGAAAAGAGATTAGTTCTCAAGATGAATTCTTAAGCCCTTGAAGAGATCAGTAAGAAAGTCTTCTTTTTTAGAAATAGAATAAATGACAGCTTTCCTGAAGTAAATATTACTGAAAATCCAGTTATTTCTTTAATTGCTAAGTTATTTAGAGACTAATCTCTAATTCTAATAATAATAGAAGACTTTTCAGCTAATTTTCTTCAAAAGTATAAGCAGACTTGAATATCTATATTCTTAATGAACTTTGATACAGAGAGTCTGAAAATTTATAAAGATAAGTATTGAGAAGTCTTTGTAGTTCATGATATCTCTACAGAAATCTTTAATATAGAGAATGAATTATCTCTTCTAAAACAAGAGATAAAAACTTTGAATTTTATTTCTCTAAAAAGAAATTTCAATCTGGCTATTTTCTACTGAAAATAAAGTACAGAAAAGATATATATCTGCTACTTTTTATATTTAAAATACTATATTAGCTAAAAATCTGAAAACAGTTGTAATTACTGGACAAACTCTTAAAGTTTGTAAATATAAACAGTCAAAAAGATTTAGAAGTACTGTGCAATATTTTAACTGTTAAATCTATAATTATACAGCATCAAACTATAAAAAAGAAGCTAGATGTGATATCTGTGCTCAAAAATATCAAACAAGTATGCAAGAATGCTTAATTTGTGAGATTACTGAAAGAAAATATGTACTCTACACCAAAATATGCTAATTACTTAGAAAATCATATAACGAAAAGTACAGAGTATATTTTCTTTAATAAATTTAACTATTCAGCACAAAACACTAGTAAATTAATGAAACTAGTAAGAGCTGAACAGAACTTTTTCACAACTAAAACTATTTCTAAAAGATCTTACAAAACAGATTCTGAAGATGTTGTAATCTCTAAAAAGAAGATTGAAGTTAGACCACTATTTATTAATTTATATTAAATAAAACTTCAAATACTTCTTCAAAATTAACTTTTCTTCAGAATAATGTTGGAAGAAATGAAAAGCTAATACATACATATCTTGATATTGAGGTTGAAAAGAAAATTGATTATATTGTATTTCAGAAATCATGAATAAGCTTATATAATTAGTTTACAATCTCTCATAATACATATTATTGCATTCTTCCTGAAAACAAAGAGTTAAGATCTAGAGTAGCTATTTTTGCTAGAAAACAGTCCAGATATCAACCCTGCTTAAAATCTGAGATATGCTCTAGTAATAATCTTCTAGTTATAGATATCAAAGATAAATACAATTAGTTCAAAACTATACAACTGATAAATATCTATAATCAAAAAGATCTAAAGAACAACTCAAATCTTTGAACTATTAAGAGAGAACTAGTAAATATCTCAGCTTTTTAACTCTGTATTATTACTGGAGATATAAATACTCATCATCTATGGTGGAATTCAAATATAGTCAATTCAGTTAGAGCTGAAAAACTAGTAGAATAGCTTGAGAAGAATAATATGAATTTAATAAATAAGATAGACAGAAAAACTTTCTTTAGACTAAATCTATCATTCAAATTAATTATAGATTTGATCTTCTTCTTTCCACTAACTTAACTCAAAAGATACATGAGTGATGAATTAATGAAGCTCTTCAATCAGACTCTGATTAATGAAATTATTTAATTTAGTATTGAACTAAATACTGAAAATCTTATTGAAAATCTATTTTATTCAAATCAATACAACTTTCAGAAATCTAATTAAAATAAAGTAAATAAATCTCTTCTTCAAAATCTAGAAAAAGAAGAGTTTCAATAGACTTCAATAGAAAATACTTTATCAGAACTTAAATTAGAAGTAATTAAATTAAGAAATCTAATTCAAGTCTTTATTGAAAAACACATTTCGAAAAAAGAGAATAACTAAAAGGTCTAAATCTTGATGAAATAATGAGCTAAAAATCAAGAGACAAGCTATAATAAAAGTCTTTAGAAGACTAAAGAATAAGCAAGTTAGCTTAGAGTTCTTTCAACAGACTAGAAATAACTACTTCAATACTATTAAAGAGATAAAGTTGTTATGTTGAAATGAATTTCTGGAGAATACTCAAGAAAAAAAGATTTTTAAAGTATATAAAGTATACTAAAGAAAAAAGAGTAGAAAAGACTTCTATTCTAGAATTTTAAAATGAAATAGAAAATAAAGCTATCTTATTTAAAGAAAAATATAATATCTTTATAAAAACTCTTTTCAGAGAACCACTAATTTATTCATTAATAGATTAAAATGAATATCATGAAACTCCAGACTGAAAATAGTCTAATCTTCAAGAAATAAATATTAAGAACTTTATTTTTTCAGGCTCTAGAATTAGTATATCTGACTCAGATACTGTATCTTCTCTTACCTTACAAAAAAATTATTCAGTACTTAAAGATAGATTATTCAGGCTATAGTCTATACCATTTGAAAAAAGATACCATTCAGAAATCTGAAGAAAAGCTACTGAAATTATTCTAAAGAAACTAAATAGAAAAGCTTCAATATTAAAATCTTACAAAATTATCCCTCTTCTTAACTGCTTGAAAATCATTATAGAGAGAATTATTACATCAAGACTCTCTTGTTAAATCTTTTAAAATAAATTACTATATATTAATCAGTTTGGAGAAAAGAAGCTATGCTCTGCTATAGATATTATAATGAGTTTGTTATATAATATTCCACTTGCAAAAGTTAATAAATTAGTAGTCTCAGCTCTTTTTATTAATATAAAAGAAGCATTTGACTATATTTTACTAAATAAACTTTTAAAAGTCTTCTCTATCTGCAACTATTTAAATCACTAACTATATAAGTTTTTTCTTTTATACAAACAAGAAAAATCAAACTGATTTTTGACGGTGCAAAACAATAAGAAAAGATATTCTTAAATATTAGAATTTCTCAAGATTCACCTCTTTCTTTAATACTCTTCTCCTATATATACAATATTTCTCTTTAAGAATGATAATGATTTAGATCTTAAAGATATCAGAATTTTTAGTTATATAGATAACACTGGACTTGTTATTTTCTCTTTCTTAATAGAAGAAAATTGCTCTATATTAGATAAAGTTTTACAAGCAATATCTAATAAACAAGATTCTCATATGGTTTATTTTAATATAGAAAAAACTGAATTGATTCACTTTACTAAATTATTTAGTAAAGATAACTTAGTTACACTACATGATCAAGTCTTCAAATCAAAAAAACTAGTGAGATAGTTAGATATTTAGCTTAACAATACACTTACTTTTAAGAATCATATGAAAATCAAGATATCAGCTGCTGAAAGAGTTCTTAATCAAATAATTAGACTTTTAAATACTGAAAAAAATCTTATTTTTCAAGCTATAAGACAACTTTATATAGCTTGTATTACCTCACTGTAGCTGATTATAGTGTTTAGATTTGATAAAAAAATCTAAAGAATCTAAACAAGTATAAGAAACTTCAAAACTCTGCTTTAAGAAAGATTCTAGAAGCTTTTAAAACTTCTCTAATTTATCCTATAAAGATTGAAGCTGCTATCCCTTTTGCTAAAGTAAGATTTTAATAGACTATATAGAAACTCTACTTATAGATTATTAAAAATATTAAAAAAATACATAATCAGAGAAAAAGTATATTCTAGCTTTCTATCTTATAATAATGATGATTGAGGAAGGCTTTTAGATTGAAATCAATCAGAATTAAATAATGAATATATTGAACAAACATCAACTAAAAGAAAAAGAAGAAATTTTCAAGATTTTGCACTAATCAGTAATACTGTTGAAATCTCTGAGTAATACTTTGTGTAACAGATTAAACTTGATAGTCTACTATATTATTACTATTTCTCTAAGATACATATAAAGTTCTAATAAATTGTTACCAGATCTTTAATTATTAGAGCAATCTTAATATACATTGTAAAGAAATATATATTACAGATCTATATTTTACTTTTCTTGTCTACAATATCAGTAGTTCTTCATATTTTTGACACATTCACATAAAACAACTCTATATTAGTGATTTTTTATAATATTAGGTTTTCTGTATACTTTATACATTTTATTGATACAGACTAATTTATTGGTAAAGTTCTCTTTAGCTGTATTAGAAAAATCTCTTAATATTATATGGCTAAGAATTCTTTAGTGCATTACTGCATTTTTTTTACTTAATATATAATTAATCTCTTGTATAAAGTCTCTCAGAAAATCTTGAAAGTTAATAGCATTAAAATTCAGTCTTGATTGCTTTCTTGCTGTATATAAAATTATTTCTTGCTTTTTCTTATTAACTGCTATTACTACTCTTCTAGCTTCTCTGAAGTAAAAAAATAAAATATATACAGATAACTATCTTGTAAATTCATTCAGACTATAATAAGATCTGAATAACCTTGTCTATATTGATAAATCTTTTACAGATAAAAGGCTTGAAAAGATGTTCAGAGTGTTAAAAGCAAAGAAATTATAGCAGTTTACTATTATTTGTTAATTAAAGTTCAAATTACTACTTTTAGCAATAAATATTATTTACTGATCTTCTGTGAATAGTCTATTCAAGCTATTAATTAGTATAACTTATTATATAGCTTGCTTAAACTCCAGTATGCTTATAATATATTCTGCTATTTTAACAAATTTCTTAACAGCTTTTTATAAAAATCAGTAATTATATACTTATTCTGCTGAGTATACTCTATTCTTAGTAGTACTAAGAATTTCTAAATAAGTTATTCTTTACTTATAATCTTCTCTTCTGTATTGCAGTCATAAGGTGCCATGGCTGAGTGGTACAGTCATGGAGTAACACTTTGTATGTCGCGGGTCCAAATCCCGCCCCTGGTGGCTATCATATAGTAATACTCAGATTTTGATAGGGTAACTGTAGCTGATTTGGACCATCAGCCACACTTACTACATCAATTTCTGAGTATCTCTGTAATGCAATAACTGAATTTAGTAATGTTTATGAAGAATCTACATCAATAAGCAATTTATATGCTTATTCAATCTCTTGTTTTCTTACTTCTTTAGTGGAAGAATATCTAATATTATCTTGACATACTGGAATTTCTTAAAAATTATATATCTAACACATACTATCTTACAAAATCTCTTTGAGTAGTCTTCATGATTACAGACTGTATAAGACTATAATAAATTATTATTATTATTATTATTATATCTTCTGTATTATGATTTTTCAGAAAGATAAGTGCCAATAATTTGTTCTTAATAGAGTTAAGATTTCTGTTATTTACATAACAAGCTAATTAATAAATGTAGTTTGAAAAATCTGCAATTCTATATAACTAACTGCAGCTGAAATTACTTAACCAGTTTATTAACTGTAGAATACTGATCTATAGGTCCACTATATTTATGTTTGACATAGTCTAACAAAGAAAAAAAAAGAAATCAACAAAGAATATATATAACTTATAGAAATTCAGTGCATATTGATGGTAGACAAAGGGTTTCTATTTAAAGTTCTTGATCAGATAATAAAAATCTCTCCAAAAACTCTGAATTTCTATAGAAATCTCTTCTATGCAAATGAAAACATGCTACTAATTTAGTACGCAATAGTATATCTGTAGAAATATGATATTTTAATTAGTTGACTAGCTAAGAACTGTCTACAACTAAAGACTATATCTACCTACATATCATAGAAGAAAAAAGTAAGCACTATTAATGATTCTTCCTAGAATTCATATCACTATCTGTGCTTTTATCTTATCTATTATTACCTTCCTGCCTCTCTTCAGCACTAGCAGGGTCTCTGCCTATTGTATAATAGATATTAGAGCTTCTGTCTAGTTCAGAAAGCCAGTTCTGAAGAAGTAGAAAAAGAAGAAAAAAGAGAAAAAGAAAGTAAAGAAGAAGAAAAAGAAGAAAAAGAAGAGAAGAAAGAAGAAGAAAGAAAATAATAATAATAATAATAATAATAATAATAATAATAATAATAATAATAATAATAAACTTGTTATTTAGATAGTTCTTAATTATGTGCTGGCTTCAGTCATTAATTAGTTTTAATACTTGTTTTTTTTTTTTTCATAATTAAATTAATTTTTCTAAAAGTTCTGCTTTTATCAAAAAAGTAACAAAATTTAATAATAGTTCACATAAAATTTGATCAGTTTAACTCTTCTATATAAATTTGATATAATGAAGCCAGAAAATCTGGTCCCATCCCAGTTTCACTATAAATCTAGCTGGAATAGAAAATGAGAGCCTATCTTCTCTGCTGGAATAGAATGTAAGACATAATTTTCTATTTAAGAATAGGACCAGAAAATAATTTATGAGATAGAGATAGGAACAGAATCTCAAGCTCTTGAGTAAGATGAAACATGAGACTGAGATTTTATATTTGAAATTCTGGCTGTTTCTAAATTCAGAACAAGAACTAGTTTCAATAGAAAATAGCATTCTATTCTAGTTCTGAATATCAGTCTACTACATTATTAAATATAAACTTTAGAATTTAGATATAGAGTATATAGATACTTAATAAACGATATTATCAATTTTATTTATATAACTTTATTATTTGTAAAGATACTGTAATACATGCTAGTAAAAAACTAATAAAATACTATAATTAAAAAAAATAATTATTATATTTTGATAATTCTTATAATTTACAAAGTTTATTATATTTGTATAGTATTTTCTTTATTTTAGAATAATTAGTCATAAACTTGTGAAGATATAAGAGAGCAAAAGTTTGAGATTTGTATATATCTTTTGATGTTTTGATAAGATATTTTGCTTAATGGTGAATTACAGTAAGCAATTTGTGTGCTTATTTAATCTCTTGTTTTCTTACTTTTTTAGTAAAAGAACTTCTAATATTATCTTGATATACTTGAATTTCTTAACAAAATTATGTATTTAATATATAATAACTTAACAAATCTTTCTGAGTAGTTTTTATAGTTACTAACTGCATAAGACTATCATAAATTAGTATTATATATTATTATCATTATTAATTCAAGATAGTATAAGCTAGAATTAAGATTTTAATTTATAAGTCTTTGAACAGCAGCTTAACTATTAGGGGAAATCCATATATCTAATATTAATCTTGATTAAGATTAAGAGATGGAACTTGCTAACTTAAATACTTTATCTATAGTGAACAGTTCTGCATCAAAAATCTCAAGATATTTACCTAGATTTTATGAGAATCTAATATTATCTTGTAGATTATATACATCAGCACCAGTATATTGATTTTTTTCAGCTTTTAATTTATCTGAATAAAGAACTAAAGATCTATTATCTAGATCTTTAATTTTATTCATATGAATATCTTTATTTGTTTCTTTATCTGACGTTTCAATTTGAATATCTATGTTAGGGGAGTCTGATATAGATCTCATAGGTTGTCCCTAGATTTGGGGTATAAAAGAGCTAAGTAGGTCTGATGCCCACAACTGATAAGAGGAAGTCATGTGTAGAACATATAGATCTGCTAACTAGAGAACTGAATACTGAGATTTCCATAATTTATGCAAATCATGTGATTCTTATATGTTCAGAGTTGGTGGTTATATGAGTTCCTTTGAATATCTAATATTATCTGATACTAAGCTGGCTTATATTTTTTTGGTGCTTGGTTGGTCTACATTTATAATATTATTTTCCTTCTCAGAGGCCTTGAACTTTAAGATATAGGGCCACCAAAGTAGTTTTTCATACATTGTTATAGCTTCTCTGTTATTGGTGGAGTATTATAGATTCTTGAATATGCAAGTCTCTGTATTCCTACTGCTTGTCTATAGAGATATCTTACAAGTACATTACCAGCAGTTGCAGTAGGTATTCTGTTGTAGAATATTAATTATTTTATTATAATAATTCAGTATTTTATTAGTATTTCATCATATTATTCTTTTTTTGTTTATCAGCTTGTTTCAAGTGGTTTTGGTTGCTATATTGTTCATTGTCTGTGATTATATTGTTTATCAACAAGTTATAGATCTAACCACTTTGGGACATTGTGATGCAGATATAAATAGAGACTTCCTCATCTTTATTCTTCTTCTTTTCTTTTTACTACATCTTGTATGCAAGCATTATTATTTTCTTTAACTTCTACTTTTATTGTCATGATTTTAATAAAGAATTCTATTTCTAATAATGAGAAGAACATATTTCTCTGTTTTATGTATATATATTTAATATTTACAGACTATTTAGACAAGAAAGAGTCTTGTATCTGAGATATCAAAAAGAGTTCTGTGTTTACTACTTGAAGCATCAAACTTGTACTTGCTATAATATAAGTGCATTTTTATCTGTTTTTTCTTCTTGTTCTGATATGGCTATAGATTTCAAAGTCTGCCATTAATGTTATCTGTAGACTTTTATATCTTCAAGAGAAGTATTACTTCTTTAATACTGCAGATTCACATCATTCTTATGATATAAAGTGTATGAGTATTCTAGTACAAGAGTTTTATGATCTTGATTCTGAGACTGTAAAATATTATTATTATCAAGCTTCTTCTGTTCTTAAAGAATCTTCTTCAAAATATTATTGTCTATCTTCTCTTTATCAAGCTAAGACTGTGAATCTTGTATCTGAAACTAAATTTATTAAAGATGATCCATCTGAATTTCTTTATTTATTATCTCTAGTTTATACTGTTTTGTTTTGAGTTCAAAACAAAATTGGAAATATATTTTTGAGATTTTTCTCAGATTTTCATATTAATTTCTCAATAGAGAATTCTTTCTACTTTACCAGATAATACTTCTTGCAATAGTGTATCTTGTTATTTAAGATTTCATCTACTAGTACTGCAGAAGAATATATTAGTATCTTACTTTTTCTCATGCAATACAGTTTTAACAATAAGACATAAAAAATATTATGAATCTGATAGCTTGAAGAGAGCTTCAGTCAATATACATTATTTTCTATAGTCTTTACTACTGAGAAAGATTTATAGTACTTATTACCTAGCTTCTTACAGAGATATATTATATATAAGTTCTTTAATAATAACATTACTTTATCACCAGATGTATATATCTTGTCTTGATATTTTCAGTTATAAGATCATACTTAGTCTTTTTTCACTTTTGTCAAATGTTCTATCAGACTATCTCTTAATACAGAGATTATTCTCAGTCTTTTCATCAGATATTATCTGTGCATCATCAGTTAACTTCTGAATCTTATCTGATTCTCTAGATTCAAGGCCATACATTACTTTAAACAGAAATATGTGCATTATAAAGTGTTCTAATTTATTATATGCAAACTCTGCATACATAAGCTACTTTTCTTAATTATCTTGTCTATAACTATAATAAATACAGAAGTATCTTTTTAAGATCTTGTTTAATATCTTTGTTTAGCTGTCTGTTTGTAAGTGAAATATTATGCTAAGTTTTTATCTAACTTTTATGTAAAAATATAGCTTTAATTAATATTTACTTATAAAGACAGGTCTTCAGTTCAAGATAATATTATCTAGAAATTTAAAGTTCTTAAATATTTTTTTCAGCAAGAGATTTGTTATCTTTAGTATATTAATCTTCTTTCTATATATAAGAAAATATGCAAGTTTTATAAATTACTTTATAATAATCAGAACTATATTATATAAATTTCTCTTCTTCTCACTTAAAGAAAGATCTATTATAAAGTTTATAAATATCAAATATTAGAGATTACTGAATATCAGCAACAGTAAAAGCAGCTTATATAGTTTGTATGTTGAAGTCTTCTCTTATTAACAGATTTGATATTCATATATATACATCTGAATATCTTATCTTATTAAATATTATTTATATTTTTGTCAGAGTAAGATAAATAT